CCCCAAAACCCCAAAACCCCAAAACCCCTTTTGTTTAGCATCATATTGAATACCAATTACTTCTTGAGTTTGTAGAGATAAGGTCCTCCTACAGAAATCAAGATTATTCCGAATCCAAGGAAGTAGATTGGCTTGAACTTGTAATGGAACAAGAACAAGTCTATCAAAAGGATCATGCAGGTGGTGACATAAGAGAATGGAGCTAGAACTGTTGCTTTTTCATATTTGGAAGCCAAACTCAATAATGATTGGGCAAAGTAGTTTGAAACTGCACTGAATCCGAGGAGTAACATTATTTCAAGATTGTAATACTCAAACCCAAAGTTATCTCTGAAAAACATTAAAAATATAACTGAATTTATCAAGAGCCCAACAGAGAAATAAAAAGGACTGTAAGTGCTGTTAACATTTTTCGCGATATGCCTCATTGAAACAACAGAAGGAGATCGAAAAACTAAAGCAACCAAACTGAGCATTACTCCCAATGTAAAATTGTCATTATTATCAGAACCTTCAATATCAGTTTTATTGGTAGCCAATACCAATCACCCACAGAAGGCACCTAATAAGAAGACTGCATTTCTAAAATGAATTGCCTCTGAAAGTAAACAGTATGCAAGAAAACTTCCGATCAAAGGATTAATGCTCACGATAATATGGCATTGGCTAGTTGGCAAGTACTTCAATGCAATAAACATACTTGGAACTCCAATGCCTCCAGCAAGAATTCTAAATATTACAGCGATCATAATCTTCCTTGGGACCTTGAGAACATTAGTGTTGGATACTTTTACTTCCATCAGTGCAACTATGGATCAGTAAGAATGAGAGAGTATATAAAGATAATCTTACCTAATATTGAAGCACCCCCTCTGAAAAGCACATAATCATAGCCAGAGATATGTTCATATTTGATAAACAAGTGCTTGACCAAGGATATCGAGATGAGAAAGAACACTTTTGATAGCAGGCATAATCATATTCCGTAGTTGATAAATCTAGAAATGCCTTCTATATTCGATCGTTAGAAGTTTCAACAAAGGAAATCGAAAATTAGATTCAATTCAAATTTTACCCTTTCTCAAAATTTTAAGTAAAATTCTGTAAAGAAGAATAAGAATCAAGAAGCAATTTAAACTGATTGCTCACCTAGTAAGGAGCAAACTATAGCCATGGCAACATCTTAAACTGCATTAGCTAGAAATGGCTTTCAATAAAGCCTGGTGAATATGCTAATTATAAGTTTCGCGAATACTAAACTGATGTAAACCATTTCAAGAATACTAAATATCAGTAATTTAAAAATTAAATAGATTACTTTATGTTCAAAAATAATCAACAAAATCTCATTCACCTCTTTCGTTCTGTAAACTCTTATCTTCCTTCTTTGGATCCTCGATTAAAAAAGACTGTCAGCTCTTTTCTTCACATAAACTATCAAGAGATTCATGATCACCGTGTTTCTGGCTATAAGAAGTCTTTAGTAATATGTTTGAAGTACAATTAACCTTAAAAAGTCTAAGATAATACAGATTTTTAGGTTTTTCTCAAAATTCTATCATATCTATAAAGCATAAAGTGCATTGCCACAACCTCTGTCAAAACTAAAATTTACTCTCTCTCCATTTTTGTTATAAATTAATATAATTCAATGATTTATCTTCTGGCTGGGGTTTTGGGGTTTTGGGGTTTTGGGG